AACACCCAAACCCCCCCCCCCCCCCCCCCCCCCCCCCCCAAAACCAAACCAAAACAAGGGTGCCATGTATTTGTGGCTGATGAGTCATTTTGCATAGCTGTCAAAATCTGTGTCTTCATTATGCAAATTATAATGGCATATATTTATGTATCCAGCTGATGACCAGCAGTATGCTTTACTTTAGGATCTGTCCATTGCATTATCTACAGTCTTCTCCAGGGTGATATTTCCAACTTTTATGTTTTCCTCCTCTTCCAGTCAATGTCAATCACATCTGTTTCTCTGTCTGTGGCATATGAATTGGGCAACAGGGAGGGGCTGCAGTTTTTCAGCTGTAAATGTGCAAAAGGCAAATTCTTTTCAGAAAGTAAACAGTGTCATAACCAAAAGACTGAGCGTTTGGCCCAAATTAATTAAAAAAATACATGTTTCTTTCATTACTCTGCAGTCTGTCTACCTTTTCTCTTATTGATGTCACATGTCATTCACCTACGTGCAATTTTATCCTTGGACTTAATGCTAAGATCTATTCAGTACGGCACCAAATGTCTTTCAGGACTATTGCCAAAAATATTCTCTTTCCTATCCAAAACTGACCTGGAGACTCTAATTCATTCACTTACATCATCTAGCCTTGACTACTGTAATTCCTTGGTTTGCTGGGCTTGGAGCCAAATCAATTGGCAGACTCCAGCTTACTCAGAATTCAGCAACAAGGCTTCTGACCCAAACCACGCCAACTCTGTATCCTTCCTGTGCTGCAAATCTATATTTGAAAAGCATGTTATACATTTACAGTAACAGTTTCCTTTACACTGTAATTTTATGGGTGGAATTTTTTCTTTTACCCTGCATGTCAACTGTCGCTCTCTTACAGAATTTTTCTGAGCTAAATTGCCATATACTCTACTCTTGCACTTACAGTAATTTAGTGCAAAGCCCTTTTCATCCTGTATCCCTAATTGGTGGAATTTGGAGTGAAATTTCACATGAAATCTGATTATTTTATCTGCCAGCAAAGACTTTGGTTTTTATTTTAACACATTGCGTTTCAGTTTCTATTTTGTTTCATTTTTATCATAAGGCATTATAAAAAATTTGGTTGCTGATGTTCTTGATTATTGCATATGAGAAATTAAAAATAATCATGTATGCATGGTAGCTGATAACGTAATAAGAAAAGGAAAATTGACTACTTCTTGTCTCCTGAACCCAAGGAGAAATTTCAGCCTTCATTCAATCATGTATTTAAAATAACCTGCTTGATAAATGTAATTGAGGGTAAAAGTGTTCTCTCTACCTCTTAATCTACAGATGAGACTATACTTTGGTTCTCATTTATTTCTGTTCTTCTTTGTCAGTATCATTTTCAAATATCCTGTGTCGAATATTCTCTTGCCCTGGAGATAATTCTAGTTTTCCATTTAGTCCAATCTTGTACGCATCCTCTGCAGGCATCATTTCAGGGATTGTTGTTGTTGTTATTGTTCCTAGTTTTTCTGGTTGTTTTTACATTTATACTTGATGACAATACCCTACTCTGGTAGCATGTTTTATGGCAACAGAAACTGAGGTTGAACTTTCATTTAATATGCTTACTATGAGCTGGCACCTCTAATAAAATGTATTGTAGTTACACCACGTTTGTTAAACATTGACACTTGCCTATCACTCTAGGCTTAGTTTTTTGGGTCTTTTTAATTATTTACAGCTCAGCAGAAAAACAATTAAATAATAATTCTTTGTCTGAAACATGCCACATAAATTACCAGCTGCAGAATAAGTTCTTAGGAAAGATGCAATTATTTACATCCTGTAAGTTATATTGATAGGAAAAATGACATGGTATGGACCCTTCCAGAACAATGTGGTTTTTTAAACCCTAATTTAGTAAAGAAACAGCTTTGCATATGGTCAATGAAAATTTGATATAGCATAGAACTTACCAACAGATGTTTGACAATGAGTATTTCATGTTACTTAATAATTCTACTTACCAGACACAGTTGACAGCACAGTGCATCCTAGAGTTCAAGGTGCCTTAGAGATAGATATGATCTGTTATTTCATTTTGGAAATTTCTTTCTGGAGGTCAGGAAATAGTCTGAAAACCATGGTCAGCAGTGAGGCTGGGAACAGCTGTTTCACTCAGATTCTGCAGATATCAGCCCAAAATCTGGGGACTCTCTTTGGCCAAATCTTACCCAGACTTGGAGGAAAAGTGAGTTAACTGGAGAGTTTCTCAGCTGTTATAAATTCTCCTGGCTTCCCCTTAGGGATGAATCTACCATCCTTATGGACTGTGTGCTGCTGGATCACTTACCTGTACAGACCTGATCCTAATCGGGTGGGTACTTTATGTCTTGTCTTCCAATTACCCAGAGCACAGGAGTTATACCAGCTTTAGGCTTCCAGGGTGTCTGTGGAAGAACAAATGAATCTTGATGCAACATGAATTAACCTATGGTCAAATGTGAACTGGCAGAGCGGGTTTATATTGGATTGCCATCTCATTACACATGAATGCAGGATTTTGATATAGTACTAAGAGATGTGAAGCCACTTTCCTGTACTGTCAAACCATGGCCTTGGCTGCTTTCTAGCTCTAATGTAATTCTTGGAGACCTTCTAGGTTGGGTGTTACCTGTGGGTGTTTCTAACACTTCATAGCCTAGATTGCTATGTATGTTGAAATTGCTGTACATATAGTGACACTTTCTTTGAATATATAGTAGTGGGACATTGGTCCTTGATATGTGCTAATTTAATATTCTCTTCTACAGTTCCCTTTTTTTAATTATCCCTAGCTGCCTATTGCATAAAGTTTCTTTAAATGCCTTGATTTTTAGTATCTAGTACTCATAGTATCCTACCTCCTTTAGTTTTTTTAATTTCTGGAAGTTGGGTAAGTGAAGGAGATCCTTTTTCTGTTCACTTTGTCTACTGCAGTTATGCAAGAAAAACTCTTTGACATCTTCCTAGCTTGTGTTCCCATTGAGGGGAGTTTCTGAAATGATCAGATAATGACTTTTGATAAATCTTAGCACCTGTTCACAGAACGGAAATTAAACACTTTAAAGTTCAAATGTTTTTCAAAAGTCAGATGATCTTATTAATACCCATTAGTGCAAAATGGCAAACCAGCTCTTCCTCATATCTTTGTGAATCTTTTGAATTTCCACTTGCAAACTAAAAACAGATTGTTAATTAAGCAAGATTTTCTGAGCACCTGGGTCATCAACACAACAATAGTAATTAAATTCTAGCCCCAGTTTCTATACATATAATAATAGAGTGGTTTAGCATTTTCATTCTTTTAAAATTAATTGAATAAATATACACAGCATAGCTTCCTTGATACATCCACCCTTCACTCCAAGCAAGTTCTAATAGGCTGAAATTATCACATCTGCTATTAAAACTTGAATGGATCACAAACGGATTGGATCATCCCAGTAGTTTTGAGGCACCTTCTTTAGTATAAGCTACATATAAGTATTAATTTTAAAAGACTACATTTATTTTCTATGGCTTTAGAAGTTAATTAACCAGCCCTGACGACAGCAAAGAAAAACTTCCATATGTGATTCGAAATGTTGTAATCTTCCTGAATCTGAAAGCAGCCTGAAACAGTGGTAAAAAAAGAGAACAGAAGCAATGTGCTCCGGTTCAAGTGAATGGGGTTAACTTTCAGATCTAGAGGTGAAAGATACATAGCTGACTTACTAGGTGAGCTCACCGTTTTAGGAAAGATAGGTTGTTATGTATATTAAGATCCTCCACATCTGTGACTTAAGTGGACAAGGAGACCAGCCATCGATCAACTCGATGAGAGACCAGATCAGAGGGCATTACAGCACTCTTGACACCATTTCTCAATGAAAGAGGTGTGAGAGAGGTGCTGCAAGCTGCAGCTTTACAAAACAGTGGACAACACGTCAGCCCAGGAATCTAAAAAGATAAATATCCAAGAACCTTGTCAAAGAGTTGAAGCATTTTTCAGTTTGAGTTCATAGGTCAGTACAGCTACTCACTCAGGAGCACAGCCCAGGTCATTTGTAGAGAGTCTGGATTTCTTGGTGGTCTTGCAGTTAACTGTGCTGGGATTAAAGCAACCTACATCTTGGTCAAATCATTTCCACTGTTGTGGAAGGACAATGTTGCTTGCAACTGATGTGAAGAGAAAGAAAAGAGTGTTGGGAGGAAAGTTTCTGATTTAGGATGAACAAGTAGCTGAAAACTTAAGGATCTTACTCGTTCTACATAATTGACCTAAATATTGATGTCTAGCTTCAGAACAAATTCATTAGTGTTGAATGAGGGAAGCCCATTTCTCATCTCTTCTTCATCTTGTATGCACAAAAATGCAACTATTCATGTACAGATATATAGAACATGGACAAAGGATACAATGAGCCCTTTTATATTAAACAGAAGAGAAGCTGCAGCTACAGAATGCAGCATTAATGTATGGTTTAGCCCTTCCTGTCTGCTGACACATTCCCACTATCAGGTAGTCAGCCTTCAAAGCAGAGCCTGCTTGTCTTTCACGCTTTCATTTGTACAGCCTGCTCATCTGTACGCAGCTGCTGCAGGGGAACATGTGTCAGGTTTATGCCTTGAGTGTCATTTCTGTAGTCACACACCCATAGCCGCACATGCGAAGGCAGGTGGCTGCGCAGAGAGTTGTAGCAGACATCATGGGGAAGCAGCTGCATGTATGGTTTTTGGTACATAGTTATAAGTTGTGTAGACTAAAGTTATGGAGACAGACTTGAAGGGAGACATCTCCAACATTGATAAAATGTAAGTACAAAAGACACATCATTGGATGGATATTGATGATGTTGTTTCAGTAATGACATCATCCATAGACTCCTAGTGTCTTTGCTTTGCTTCTCTATAGTGATCACAACATAAATTGCTTGTCTTGTTTGACTTCCTTGTTCACCAAAGTTGAGCAGATTGTCGCCGTTTTCAACGCTTCTACCAGACAAAAAGCTTGGGACCATTTCTCGAAAGCCCAGCGAAAGAACATAGACATTTGGCGAAAGCATTCTGAGGTTGGTGATTTTATTATTACTTTCTACCCATCATCTCACAGCTGGATTGACACAGAACGAGTGTGATTGTAGCTGGACATAGTGTATTCAGCAATATTTACGGCTACCATTTTAGCTGTTAATCAACTGGCCATTGTACAGTCTCATCTACAGTATGAATTGCTCCCATTGCTCTCATTATGATAATAGTCATTAAATAATACTAAGACAGAGAGCAATGTGTTTTTATTTTTCCTGCAAAATTTGGGAAATCATTGGAGGATTATGTTTACTATCTAAAGTAATGAACTGAAGTAGTGAAATTAGGAACCATATTTTCAACTAAGGATAGAATTAAGAATTATTTCTGAAAAATATCTTTCTAGGAGTCATCGTGATCTGTTTTTAAAATAAGTATTCTGTAGCACAGATTTTTTTTTCTCATTGTGCCATCATATGGTCATGATAAGATGACTTTGCCTGAAAATAAAATAGAGAATTTCTTTCCTAAGTAATGACTTAAGCATATTAAGTCCAGAATTATGACATACTCCTTCCCATTTGTTTTATGTTTATCTTTAAAAAAGTAGATACATCACTTGTATTGATTCTAAGTATTCTGCTTGCAAAGAAACCAGTATAAATGTAATCATACTACCACACAGAGTTAGCAATGTGGGACCATGCATGTGTGACTGTCATAAGCATAAGCAGAGGAAATGGGATTCTAACTCCCCTTGCTGCGAGTGGCAGCAAAGGAAGCACTAGACCTCATCCTGTGTTTTGGTCATCCAGCTTTCGTTTTTAATTCAGTATATACGCTATGAGCCTGTATTTTAAAAAGTAAGTACCACTGTCTTTGTTTTCTTTCTTTCTTCTTCCTTTTTTTTTTTAATATGAGCAACTTACATACACTTGGTTTACCTTCATGTAGTACAGTGTGTTGATTGTTACTATCACAGTCCTCTAAACGATTTTTCTCTGTCTCAGAATAAAACCTTTAGAAGGTAAGGTGCACTTATTTAATTATTTTGTAGTACACTTGTAAAATAAGTGTTGTACACTTAGTTTGAGAAACACTAAAGTGCTGTGATATAAATCATTTGGATAACATTTTAAGTGCCCATTAACTAATGCTAAATTACAGTTGAATACCAATGGCACTAAATGTAACATCCACATGAATACCAAATGAATTCTTTATTATCAGTGCTATTATGGTGAATACCAAATGACTTCACAATAATGGGACACTTAAAATAAAATGTTAGCATAATTTATTGGTACAAAATGTATTTTGCATTTTGTTCACAAATATTTCATATAAGTAGTGGATAAAGCCTTTGTTCAATTGAAAGTTGGGAAGTTGGGGATTGATGTTTGTCTTATCTTTTAGAGAAGTATGAAAATATGATTTGCTAGTAGATTATTTCAATTATATTAAGATCATCCCTTCTTAAACTAACTTTCTGTAAAGGGATGTGGTGTGTCATTCATTTCCTGGCTTCTAAATCTTTAATAAACTGAAATGTGTAATAGTTGGACTTTCCAGAAATGCTAATTCACTACTCATTTTTTTCAAATATCATTGCCTTTTGTTTTTCTAAGAGGACAACAAAAACAATTAAAACACATGTGAAGCTCTCACTAAACCAGTGTATCTTAAAAATGCCTGTTTTTCAGATGTGAAATATAATGGAAATGTATCAAATGGCATCTTTGATTTAAATCATATTTTCTAACCATGACATTATCTGCTAATTTGTTTAATTACCTGATCACCTTCCCTTTTTTTCTGAATTTAGGAAAGCTTTGCTAAAAACTCAAACCCAAAGCAAATGCTCATACACACAGACATTCTCCATGGAAGATTATTGGCTTTGCTGATAATGTAGACATTGATACATCAAGGACATTTATCCCCTAAAGAGGGAGTAAATGTAAGCGGATGTCTGCTCATGTATGCAGTATCCTTCCCCAGGAAAAAGTGTGGGTGGCCTTTTCCAATAAGGAATTAAGAAATGGCTTGCTAATTTCTTCCAGAGGTGCCTCTGATCACATGAGACTCTGGTTGACAATTTACCTTTTTAATCACTTTTTTTTTTTTTTAATTTGAAATTATTCTCATGTAAAACGCCTACTAATTAGCCTCCTTGCCTTTGCTGGGATTAATGGACATATATATATTTATCAGAATATATGAGATCTGTTGATGAACCAAGGGTACGGCTCAAGGGAAACGCCTTCCCTTTTTTCACGCAGTCCCTCTCTGACAGCTTATTGTTAATTGCACAGAGCAGTGGTCGGACTTGTCAATGCTGTCTCCTCCTTCCACGCGACTCTTCCTTGTTTCAAAGATTTCAAACCACCTCTTTGGGAATTAAGCTCTTTGTCAGCAGAAAAATTAGCTGTCTGCAGACTGAAAAGGCCTACACTAATCACGGTGCAGCATCCCCGTGTTACACCTGACAGGATTATTAGGACAAAATAGAGTCCTCTCAATCTTCTCAGCGCTGCCATTAAAAAGCCAGCCGCTACACCCGCGCCAGCTTTTCTACCCAGAACAAAGACCATCTAGACTCCCACTAAGCCTGCGTGCCTGCTGATCATTTACCTAGTGACATGTGCACGGGCTCCCTGCCTGCCTGCCTGCCCACCCTTGCGGTGGTCGCCCAGAAACTGGGCTGTCCACGCTGGCACTCGTTTTGGATCAAGATGCAGAGATTTTTCGGAACAGTGTTATTGGGCTGGGTCTTCTAAATCCGAGGCAATCTGGGCATAGGGACAGAGGGTGAGATTCCTTTGCCCAGCATTAGGCACCTACAGTATAGAGCGCTCCATCTACACTGGCTGCCCTCGGCTCCCTTTACCATGACCAGAGAGAACTATAGGCACTTCTAGGGTGTAGTTAATATCACTTTGTTTAATGGAGACACCTATGCTTGGCCAGATGAATCCTACCCCAGGTGGCAGAGAGAAGCAAGAATTGTTGCTGATGTTGACAATCTCTTTATCAGTCTGGTTTATACACAATTTTAAGCATTATGTCTGCTGTTAAAGCATTCTGCTATGTTTAGTAGAACTAAAGATCACTCGACATGGAGACTCACTTTCTCTCTTTTTTTTTTTCCTGGAGTGTTACCTTTGATAAACTCCGTCCTTTCAAAGGAAGAATTCCCTGTGCTACTGTTGTTATAAATATTCATATACAAATAAATATGATTACAATGATAAATGATGTATAATTAAAATCAGAGCAGTATTAAAACCAGATACTAAATAATACATAATGACTTTATGGAAGTTAATACTGACAAAAGGTCATTTTGGGTTTTAGGAGCTCCGAAATGCTCACAGTGAACAGCTCATGGGAATCCGCCGGGAAGAGGAGATGGAAATGTCTGATGATGACAGTGGTGACAATCCCAGTAAAAAGCTGAGAGTAGATGATTCAGGTAAAGCCAAATCTCTCTATAATGTCAAGTGTATACAACTGTTGATTTTTTAAAAGCAAGCAAAAACTTACATATGAGAAGTGATATATTAAATAGCTGATTATGTAAGACAGTATCTTATTTAAACACTCATAAATTAGTTACTTGAATGGTGCAAGCTGTCTCTAGGAGGTGTCTGTCACCTGCTATGATCTATAATGATGAAAATTCTCCAGTTCTGCTCTTGGCTGGAAGCATTATATTTCTTTAGCACACTCTCTGCAGTCTTGCATAATAGTCTTTCGTTTCATGGTTGTAACAATGTCTTATGAGACCAGTTGAAGTTACGTTTTGGTCAATATTCTCTAAGCCTTACCTTTCTTTTCAATAAATACATAGTAATATATAAGCTCTCTTAACAAATAGCTATACATTTTAACTGTGCGTTTTGTGGAATTAAGTTTTAAGGGTACATATTTCACAATATGGTATTGCATACTGCATTAATTTGACTCTCGTTATATGGCTGTCATGAAAGAAAGAACAAGGGTGCTTGTAATATGTGGAAAGAAACTTTTTTGGCCTTCTACAAATACTCTGCTATCCAGGGTGGATACTCGAAGAGGTGGCTCAGAAGCTGCCCGAATTACTGACTGGTGACATGATCTGGATGGGCCCTTTGCTTGATTTCTTGACATTGGCTAATAAAGTTGTGAGTAGCTGACAAGTGCCTGCGTGTCTAGACACTCATCTTCAGAAAGAAAATTTACAGAGGCTGAAGCCAATGCATGACTGGGAACTAGCAGCCAGCAGTGACCTTTAAGGAAGTTAAAGGAAGGAGTAATGCGGAAAGAAACTGAGTCTGATGATGAGGATAATTTTGATCTAGGCCTTTGCATACAGGCACCATATTAAGAAAGGAAAGAATTTCATCCATTCAATTGTTTCAAGTCCTTGTGTGCCTGCACGAAAGTGTGAATTCAAGCTTACATAGAGAAGAGCTCTTTGGCTCCTCCTCTGACAAGATGCTGAGTGAGGTTGAATGACTCCAGAATTAAAAGACCAAAGGAAGGAGTGTCATTCCAGCAAAGAAATTTTTACTACAGCATCTCTCTTGAGGGGAGATTTTATGTTTTTCCTGGAAGAAAAATGAAACAATAAAACCTGTAAAGGGCAGCCTTAATTTTTGTTTGGCTAATTGTTTGAATTTTCTAGACACCATTAGCAAATGTTTGGTGCTGAGACAGTGCATCTCTGCAGACAAAGCACTGCTAGCAATCAGAGATTTTTATGAATGTCTAATCATTTGACCTTGGCTGTGTCCACTCTTATGGAGGGAAGTCATTAGAATTAACAACAGAAAGGCAGAGCCAGAAATACCCGCAGCCTGCACTCCAGAAGAGGAGTAATGATGTTTTGAACTGTCGTACTTGTCAATTCAGTTAGGTTTAACATATGCATACTTAGTGCAGAGCTATGCCAATCATTCTTTTTGCAACTTCACAAATAAGAAAGTGTCTTTGGTTTTCTTCCATAAAAAGGGACATTTCTATCAAATGTTTTGATATCTGAGATTCCTACAACGTTCCATCGCAAACACTTCAGTTTATTTGTATTGTTATAATGGGGGGACCTGAGTCCCCTCAGTGATAACAGTAGCAAACCCAGTACTGTGTTGCATACTAAATCAAAATTTAGTGATATGAATCCACTTGAGTATTTGTCCGTCATTGTCCATTGTACCATTCATCATCCTTTTGATCTTAGTGGAGTTGATCCAGCCTGCTGCATACGTAGAGTCATCCAGTTCTAAATTAATTTTATAGCTTTCTTCTTCCAACATTACACTCTCAACTGAAGCAAGTGAATTTGATTCTTCTGTCATTGACAATAGAGGGAATGTGGAGTTAAATCAAAAAAGTTACTGGGTAGAAAACATGGGTAAATGAAAAGAAAGTGAGAGAAGGGCATTTATTTTTTTCATTTTTATGTCCAGAGAAGTGATTCTTCCTTCCTTCTTTTAGCTTTTTTTTAAAATTACTATTTGTGTTAGCTGCCTTCTCTTTATTTTTTTCTTTCTTTTTGAGTATGTCATTCCAGAACCACCTCTTTATCTCACTGGAGTGGCTATTTGTATTCACAGTAACCTCTGTTCTACAAAGAATGTCTTTTAAAGAATCTTTTATCACAGCGAAACAATTCTGCACAGTAAGAAAACATTGGCACTTTCTTTATTTTTATCCCCTTTTCTTAAAATGTTTGTCTAAATGCTTAACCATGGGAAGGGCAAAGCTTGAATAACACAAAGAAGATATTGTACCTCTTCAATTCAAGGACAGCATGCGCACATAAAGGCTTAAAAGTCTAAATCCGAAAGTAGCTGAAGCAACAAGACGTGCTGAATTGGTTTGGATAGTTCCAGAGTTCTGGACTGCCTGTCCTGCCATCCCAACAATTTTCTTGAGAACACTATTTTTCAGCCTGCCCTACTCAACAGTGGGAACAACATTCCTGGGAAGTGACCAACCCCAAAACTACAAGTGACAGAGATTCCCCCAGGTTCCAACATCTGTGTCAGGTCTTTTTTCACTAGTTCACCTAGTTAAATCACCCTGTATTGGGTCTGGTTGAGATGAAACTAATATTCCCCATGGCAGCCCTCATAGTGCTGTGCTTTGTATTGGTAGCTGGGAAGGTGTTGGTAACACACCAGTGTGTTGGGTACTGCTGAGCAGTGCTCGCACAGCATCAAGGCTGTTTCTCCAACAACCAAGATCTTGGGAGGGGACATAGCCAGGACAGCTGGCCCAAACTGACCAAAGGGATATTCCATACCATATGATGTCAGCTCAGCAATAAAAGCTAAGAGAAAGGAGGAGGAAGGGGAGCCATTCGTTATTTACATTTGTCTTCCAGAGCAACCGCTACATGTGCTGAAGCCCTGCTTCCCGGGAAGTGGCTGAATATTGCCTGCTGATGGGAAGTAGAGAATAAAATCTTTGTTTACCTTTTGCTTCTGTGCGCAGCCTTTGCTTTGGCTTTTTTTATTAAACTACCTTTATCTTGACCCATGAGTTTTTTGGGTTGTTTTTTTTTTTTCCATCTCATTTTCTCCCTACCTGTCCTGCTGAGGAGGGTGTCCTGGTTTCAGCTGGGATAGAGTTTATTTTTCTCCTAGTAGCAGGCATAGTGCTGTGTTTTGGATTTAGTAGGAGAAGAATGCTGATAACACACTGATGTTTTAGTTGTTGCTAAGTACTGCTTATGCTAGTCAAGGACTTTTCAGCTTCCCATGCTCTGCCAGGTGCAGAAGAAACAGGGAAGGGGCACAGCCAGGGTAGTTGATCCAAACTGACCAAAGGGCTATTCCATACCATATGACAACATGCCCAGTATATAAGCTGTGGGGAATTGGCCAGGGGGCAGCAATTGCTGCTCGGGAACTGTCTGGG